GCTCTACCACTGAGCCACAGCAGTCAGGCTAACAGTGCCTTTATAAATAATCCTCTGGGAAGGTTAAGATATTTCTCTTTTAAACTTTGGGGATAAGAACACACTGAAGCTCCATATGTCATCTTCCAAACCACCTGACAGCGCCACCTGCTGGTCATTACCTACTAGAACGTCATTCCCTCAGAGTACAGCAAGGGAACTCCTGCCACCGCACCCTCGGCTACCCCAGGTGTGGTCCCTTCTTCTACAGAGAACGGAAGGAGGAGAAACACTGGAGAATCGGAGCTTTCTGTCCTGGGGCCTGTGGTTTAAAGGGGAAATCGGAGCCAAATGGTAACCCCATCATTGGTTGCCTTTTGTTCATGCCCCAACTGGGGACCAAACCCTCTATCCAGTTTCCAATCTGAACATTAAAAAAAAAAAAAAAAAAAAAAATTGGCCTTTGTTTCCTTTGCTTCAAGTGGAAATATTCTCCCTAGTTTATATATCTAAAGGTCAGGAAAGGAAGTTGCTTTGGATGCCTGAGTGCCCTTTATTCCCTCTATAATTTCTCTCGGGTGATTTTTTTTTGGCCTTTGCCAAGCAGTTGAGGTTAAAGAAAAAAAAAAGTATTAGCAGTATCTTTTGCATGGATAGCAGTCAGTCAGACATTTCATTTTCTGATTTATTAATCCTAAAGGAAAAAAGTATTTCCTTGAATCCTCTGTACAAAATTTTTAAAAATGAGTATATTTATTTTATCTAATATGTTTTTCCTCTGAACCATATAACAGTTTGAGAATGTATCTCATATTGATTTTTAAAAAACATATATACATTGATGTATAAATCTAGCTATTTCTATAGTGTTAACAACATTAGTGCAATATTTTAAAGGAAAAATTAATTATGAAATTTGAAAATACTCATTACCATGTTGGGTATTACCACATTCTTTTCAATTTGGAGAAATTATACTTGAATGTTCATGGGAGAAATTAACCTTACCCTCCATTATCTGTCAGAAAACACAGTTCTCTAGACAACTGTTTTCTCTCCCCTCTGTATATTTAACTTTTGTTTGTGATGTAGATCTAAGCCAGTGGTCGGCAAACTCATTAGTCAACAGAGACAAATATCAATAGTACAATGACAGAAATTTCTTTTGAGAGCCAAATTTTTTTAAACTTAAATTTCTTCTAACGCCACTTCTTTAAAATAGACTCACCCAGATTGTGGTATTTTGTGGAAGAGCCCCACTCAAGGGGTCGAAGAGCCGCATGTGGCTCAAGAGCCGCAGTTTGCCGACCATGGATCTAAGCTTTGCTAAGGTGACAAGCCTGTCCAAGAGGAAGGACCGATAATAGAGCAGTCTAACTCCTGGAGTTTCACTGTCATAGCTTGATTTAATAAAATGCTGTAGCTGAAAACAGGTAAAGATGGTAAAGCTTGACCATTACATTAATCCTAAAAAATGCTATCAGGGCCCGGCTGGCGTGGCTCAGTGGCTGAGGGTTGACATATGAACCTGGTCCGGGCTTAATCCTCAGTATGGGCCATGCAGGAAACTGCTGACCAATGATTCTCTCTCATCATTGACATTTCTATCTCTCCTCCCTTGCTCTCTGAAATCAACAAAAAATATATATGTTTTAAAATGCTGTCAGGGCAACCAGGGGGTTGCAGAGGACCTGTGAATGCTTCTTCATCTAGAATTTCAAGCAGTACATAAAATATTTACATAGCACCGTGCTGCTTCACCCCTGACAAGAGCACAGGTTCAGGTGTGTATTGTTACTGCAGGCATCACTAACGGATGAGCTGCTGAAGAACCTTGAATGGTATTTGGAATGTCAAAAAGTCAGGTACCTGTCCTAGGGTTAGGTTTGTAGTGACTAATAAAGTGGCCCTGGTTCCTATACATAAAAATTTTATTTTGTTACCAAAACGGCACTTTAACACATCACAGAGGAGGGAGAAGAAGAGAGTTTTCACATGGAACTTAAAGGAATGGATGGCATCCAATTAATTGGTGTGGCTCAGTGGTTGATCATCAACCTATGAACCAGAAAGTCATGGTTCGATTCCATGTCAGGGCACTTGCCTGGGTTGCGGGCTTGATTTCCTATGGGAGGCGTGCAGGAGGCAGCCAATAGAGATCCTTGATTGTCTCTCATCATTGATGTTTGTGTTTCTCTCTCCCTCTCCCTTCCTCTCTGAAATCAATAAAAATAGACCGATACGTACAATGCTTATCTGTAAAATAAAAATCTAATTATAAATTTGCTAGCTGTGGATGCCTGTTACATTTTACCTGGAAAAGAGGGATGATAGCACCTGCCCAAAGGATTGTAAGAATAAGGCACCTTAGTTATATGCCCTGACAGGGAATCAAACCCACAGCCTTTTGGTGCAGGGGACGATGCTCCAGCCAACTGGGCCACCTGCAGGTTTGATCCCAGGTCGGGCACACGTGGGAGGCAGTCAGTGTTTCTCTCTCACATCAGTGTTTTTCTCTTTTACTCTCTCTAAAAAATCAATTTTAAAAAGCATTCTTCAGGTGAGGATTTTGGGGGAGGGGAAGGGGGGAAAGCACCTTAGTAATAACAATTTCTTGTTTGTTTTAACAGTGATTACTTCCAGTCATGACTTTACCTCATGTTCTTTAAACCCTCGGAATAGACCAGTGAAGTAGTGGTATTTCCATTTTAGAGATAACATTTTAAAAATGAGGAACACATATTTGCAACACATAAAGCAAAGTTTGTATGTAGTATCCTGATACAAGGCTACCTACCCCGTGTCCTTATGGTGAGGATGCTTTCTGACTCTGATAGGCTTGAATGGGCTTTGCTCCTTGTAGCCAAAGGTTCCCAATGAATATGCCATCTTCTCTCCATTACTGTTAGTAATATCTCTGATAGACAAAACGGTATAACAACTGTTGACATCACTCATCTGTCTTTGGGCTAATCTATCTCTCCACTCTCTTGGTCTTTCTCCTACCTCTGTAACCACCCCTCTGTGCCTCCTTTATGCGTTCTTCCTCTACCTCTCTTCATCCTTCACTATCTTCTACTCAGTTCCCTTAGAATTTTCATTTAGTCTTGGGCCTTCAACCATCTTTTTTGAGTTCAGAGTCTAAGGAACAGTCTTTCCCTGCTGGGAATCATCCCTGCTGTTGCTGGGAGTTTGGACATAAAATGTTTGTTTGGAATTAGAATACATCCACTTTGACACAAAATCTACGCACATTGGACATACTTAGAGCTCCTCTCCTGGCTCCATGTAGAGGCCCCTGGATTGTGTGTGAAGGTCTACTCAGTATGTGAAGGTCTACTCATGATGGTGGAATAAGTTTCTTGTGTCAACTCGGTGCACAACAGTGTGAATGCATGTAATATCTCTGAGCTGCATACTTCAAAAAATGGTTAAGATGTTAAATTTTACATTATCTACATTTTACCACAATAATTTTTTTTATTAAGAAAAAGAAAATGGTGTAATGAATAAGAATCTTACCTTAAGGCACGAATGTTTATAAATTTCAAACGCATTTGCAGAGCTGATGCAAAAAAATTCCTGATTTGTAAAAATCCTAATGTTGTCCATGCTGAAATGCAAGACTAACTTAAAAATAATCAGAATAGTCCTTTTCAAATTGGACAACTGGCTCAATAAACACAAGACAATGGGTAGTTCTGTTAACCCTCTCAGTGTGAGGGTTAAATTGTCTGAAAGGTGGGTGGGCCTTGCCAGAAGGGATAAGAAAAGCTGTGTCTTGCCAGGGGAATGAGAGCTGCAAAGGCTGGGTGTATGCATTCTTTGGAGCAGACTTATCTGATCAGAACAGAGGGTGTTTGTTGGAAATTGGAGGAAGATAAGATAAAGCAGATCTAGACTGAACTTCGTGTTTTGTATATTTGGTATTTGGTTGTTTTATGGAAGAGAAATTTATTACCACCATGGATAAGGATATAATAGAATGCAAGACTTGGAAATTAGAACAGAGTGCTTCAAAGTTGGAGATAATTCTGTAAGGTAGGGTGGGTATGTGTTGAGTACCTCCTGTATGTCAGGTGCAAGATCTCACAGCCCTTACTTATTCTTACAGCAACCATAAGGGTAGATGATGTTATTCCGGTTTTATGCATAACACACTGAGTTTTGAGGAAATAGAATTTGTCTAAATTCTGCCTGTGCCTAGGCCAGGATCCAAGCCCAGGGACATATGCCTTCAAAGCACAGTGAGGATGGACTGAGTTTTACAGTGAAGAGAATTGAGACCCAGGAAGCAGGGGGCTGTTCAAGGTTATACAGGACATGGGATGGAAGCAACTGTTCTGCAAGAGAGAGGGGATAGGTGGCGATCCGCAGAGAGAGAACAGGTTAGAGCCTGCTGTTACAAACAGGTAGGGGTGCCAAAGAATTTGGTGATAGTGGTGGATTGGAATGAAAAAGCGGTAGAGCGCGGAAGGACAGACAAGGGAATGCTGTGGTGGACCGATCATGGAGTAAAGGAGGATGGAGAGCGATGACTTGGAAGTAATCCCGCAGTTAATCCCAAGGGACTGCCATTTATAGAGTGAGTCTTCAGGGGAGCTAGTTTAGGAGAAAGGCCATGTGTTGTTTATGGAGTGGTTTGACTGAAATGACCAATGTTAGACGATAAAATGGATGGCTTCCATGAGATGTATATTGGTCAATGCATGGAGAACAGCAGGGGACGTGAAGGTGAAAGGCCATGAGGAGGAGCCTATGTCTTCACGGTGATGGTGAAGATTCACCCCAAGAGCAGCCACTAGCTGTCACCTAAAGCCACGGAGACCTGTGTTTGCCTGACTCTTTCGCCCTGGCCTGCCCCTTCCACCCCAGCAGGAAAAGCACTTCGCTGTACTTGGCTTCCTGAACCGCACAGCCATCACTCACAGTGGATTCTCCATTCTTGCTGCAGGTTCTGCAGCCTAGAAAGGACTATTTCTCCATGACATTTCCCTCAACCGGATTCTTTTGTCTTTCAGAATGATTGTCACTGTACTGGACAGACTGCTGAGCTATTGAAGTCCTTCCGTCTTTGGAGCACACGAGGAAATTGTCCATGGAGTTGAAATATTTACTGCAGTAATTTCTGGCCTTACACAACTGAGGTAAGCTATACTCCTTCCCGTATACTCGTCATGGAGTTGCTGTGCTTGTCTCTCTTAACTGTGCTTTTTAAGGGACATTAATCCACTTTCCCCTACCTTTTGTGCCCCAGTGATCCTTCAGAGTGCCCCTAATCTGCAAATGTAGATAGGGGTGCAGAAAAGACATTTATGGGATGAAATATGAGCAAGCTGTTTGACTCTGAAGAATAACAAGGAAAATGTATTACTCTTCAGGTTAAATCAATAAAATATCCCATTTCCATAAATGCAATATGCATGGAGTGGATTATGCTAGAGAAAAATCAATAGATGGAAAAGAGTATGATTAAGGCTACTTGAAAAAAAAAATGGAGATACTTAAAATACTAATATATTGCTGGCTTTATTCAAGTATAGGAAACCTAGGAAATACAGAGAACTTAAAGGAAAAAAAATCTGGTATTCCACACCCAGATATAATCAAGGTTAAAACGGTACTGCATTAATTGTAATGTTTGTATCACAAGTACTTGTAATGATATGTGTGTTGTATGTGTTCATTTGCTAGATTGTTTTCAAATGAGTATCATCACATACTTACTCAGTACCAGGCTCTGTACCAAGCATTTTACGTACATTAATTCATTAATTCTCGCTATCCTGTGAGGTTGGTACATTTTCATTCCCCATTTAAACATAACAAACTTGACGTTCAGAGAAATTAAATGACTTGCCTATGCCCGCACTGCTGGCAAACCCACTCAGAACTTGAAGTACTAGTCAGGTACCAAAGTCTACACTAATGGGATTTTAAATGAGCACACTGTGTTCACGATGGCAATGCGGTGGCTTCTCTATCCTCCTCTGCTTCTGTTGGACATTTAATTGATTTTCTATCCTTACGTTAGAAATAACATTGCAGTGCACGTCTTTCGTGCACAGCCAAAATTCCCCAGGACAGATTACTGTAAGTGGCATTGCTGAGTGAATGGGGTCGTGGGAATGTACTGTCCAGGGTTTGATACACTCTGCTAATTGTCTCCTCAAAAAGTTGTGCCAGTTTATAGTCTCACTAGCAGTATATGGAAGTGCCTGGTGACCCTAAGTTCTCAGCAGTATTGGTAGTCAGCAACTGGGACACTTTTGCTGGCCTTTTCAAAAGGTCCCCAGTGTCCTTGGTCAGGTCCATATTCTTGCCTCTAAGACTTGAGCCATGGCCCCCTGACCGGTTTCTTCCTCTCCAGCCTAGACCACATCTTGTCACAACAGAATTGCAGGACAGAGGGTGAAAGTCTGGGCTCTAGAGCTAGTTGCCTGGGTTCAAATACTGGGTGTATTGCTTTGCCTCCGTTTCCCCATCAATAAAATGATAGTGATGAAGCCGCTCTGGTAGTGGTGCTAGTTGATGTAAAGTACACGTGGTGCTATTTGATTCTTGGTATATGCTCACCATTGTTAGCTACTACCGTTGTCTTCCAGAAGTCCATGCTTGTATCGTTTAAAAACCAAAGGTTATGCTTGTTTTGAATGAAATAGGATCATTACCAAATTTGTAATCAACAGTAGACACATAGTGCTGACATTGTACTATTGTGTTAGCACCATGGCCAACCTGAAGATCACAGATAACCACTCCTTGCTCAGTTGGTGCTGTGAGGTCAAGGATAGTGAGGAAACAACTAACAGGAATAACTAGGATGTTAAAGCACCTTATAAACTCACAGAGCACTTTCACACTCATTGTCTTACCTGATCCTCACAACAGAGCTGTGAGGGAGGTGGAGCAGCTATTATTAACCTCGGTTTCAGAGGAGGACGTTGACCTGGAGGACTGAAGTGACTTGCTCACTTAAAGACATGGATGTGGTAGGTGGCAGAGAGGGGTGTCTGTAAATCTCACTGCTTCATTGCAGAGATGGACTGAGAAGGCGCAGGTGTAGATACCCAGGCCTAGAAGTCGAGTCTGTCCCCTTTGGTAGTGGTAGGCAAACTGCGGCTCATGAGCCACATACGGCTCTTTGGCCCCTTGAATGTGGCTCTTCCACAAAATACCATGGCCTGGGCGAGTCTATTTTGAAGAAGTGGCATTAGAAGAAGTTTAAGTTTAAAAAATGTGTCTCTTAAAACAATTTTCAATCACTGTACTGTTGGTATTTGGCTCTGTTGACTAATGAGTTTGCTGACCACTGACCTATGGTTTCCACATGGACTCAGGAATGCCTTGATGGTAGTCCCCCGAATCTGTTCTTCACATAGCAGAGTGATCTCTTTGAAGTGGAATCACGGCTTGGCACACCCCTGCCTGAGCCCAGCATGACATTCTCCACACCGAGGCCTGCAAGGCCAGGCATGATCTGGCTTCGCCGGCTCTCCAGCCTCAGCTCTGTTACTCACTCTAGAACACTATGTTCCAGCTCCACTGGCCTCCTTTCAAGTCAGGGAACAGGCCAAGCTCTTTCTTGCCCCTGGGGTGCTGTTCCTTTGCTTGCAACATGTGCAGGTGCGTGCTTGGACACATGTTCTCACACACACATTTCTTATGGCCGACTCCTCCTTGTCCAGGGAGGCAGTTCCCAGAGAGAGCTCTGGAGCAGGCTGCTTGGGTCCCCTTGGCTGCCCCATTCCCTAGCTGTTTCCTTGGGCAAGTTACTCTACCTCTACTTCACCTGTAACCCAAGAATCGTAATCATAATAGTACCTGTCTCAGAGTTTCGGAGGGCCATGTGGTTTAATTCATGCAAAGCTCTTAGAAAACTGCCCTGTGCGTAGAAGTGCACACCCATGGTAACTGTTAACAAGATGGTCAGCTTAAATCTCACCTCAGTCAGAGTGCTGTCCAACGTTAGTTATTTCCTCAGTATTTTCTTCCTTTTAGTTCTGCTTCCCCCCCCCCCTTTGTGCACGCATCATTATGTAAATTTTATTATTTTTTCCAATTTCCTCCTCTAGCCTGTGACTCCATAGGGAACAGGGGCTGTGTCTGTTTTCGACAGCTAGCTCTCTGCTGCTTGGCATCTAGAGTTTCTAGAATGAATGCATGAAAATCAACATCTCCAACCACAAGATTGCATAGAAATGCTACCAACGTTTTCTTACTGTAGTATGATGGTTTTATTTCACATTATAAAGTAATTCATCTATATAGAAGTTAGTTTGAAGTGTAATTTGAGATAGGAATGAAAAGTAATTTCCCCCCCAAATGAGTAGCTAATTGCAATTTTTGTGATTTCTTAAAAAAACAAATAAAACAAAACAAAACAAAACAAAAAATACACACACACACACACACACACACACACACACACACACACTAAAAGCCCGATGCACGAAGATTCGTGCTAGAATGGGCTTTCGTTTTCCTGGCTGCCGGCACTGCCTTTCCATTCCAGCCCAGCCCCTTTCTACTCAGGGCCTGGAGCTGCCCCTTTTTCCCCTGGCCCCGCCTTTCCATGCTTTCCAGAGGCCCTGAGAGACCAGGGCTGTGGCAGAACACTTGCGTCCCTCCCCATAACTAAGGCACCTATGTATAAAAGTTAACCACCATCTTTGTTGGATTAATTTGCATATCTCTCCTGATTGGCTGGTGGCATAGTGAAGGTATGGTCAATTTACATGTTTGTCTATTTTTAGGTACTTATTGATTTTAGAGAAGAAGGGAGAGGGGGAGAGAGATAGAAACATCAACGATGAGAGAAAACCATTGATCAGCTGCCTCCTGTATGTTCCCCACTGGGCTTCAGGCCTGCAACCCGGGCATTTGCCCTGATAGGGCATCGAGCAGTGACCTCCTGGTTCCTAGGATGACACTCAACTACTGAGCCATGCCAGCTGGGCTTTTGCAATTTCTTTTAAAGAAAGCTTCAATCTAAATTATAGTTCTGAGGAACTCTGATGTTTCTTTTGTTTGTTTTTTCTGTTCTTGAGAAATTCTTTTGCAAAAAGTAAATACAGAAACTGTTCATCCAGTTGAGTCAAGTTTCTCGTGAGCATACTTGCCCCGACCAGGAAAGATGCTCCTGGGGTCACTGCCACAGCCTGGCTTCCAAGAGGGGGACATAGCGTTCCCAGTGCAGGGACTTGTCCCATTTGCTCCATATCTACCAGTAATGCCGAAAACTGCTAGGTATTTCACATAGGCTTGTTTTAGATAGTCTGTCCTTTAAAAAACCCAATTGAAACCTAGAAACTTCACACATCCTGATGACTACTTAACTTTTCCTTAACTGCTTCCTGCAGTGAGATGACGAACAAAAATGCTTTGGCAGACCGTGTATTATATTATAGTTTGTGGTTTGGAAAAGTTGGTCACCACTCTTTTCCATATATCTATATATATATTTTTTTTAATATTTTTTTTATTGATTTCAGAAAGGAAGGAGAGGGAGAGAGAGAAACATCAATGATAAGAGAGAATCATTGATTGGCTTGCTCCCTGCACGTCCCCTACTGGGGATTGAGACCGATACCTGAGCATGTGCCCTTGACTGGGAATCAAACACAGGACCCTTCAATCCATAAGCCAATGCTCTAGCCACTGAGCCAAACTGCCTCGGGCTTTTCCATATTCTAACTTTTAAAATTAAAATTAATGACAGAAATAATATATCCCCATTGTCACATATTCAAGCCATAGAAGTTGTACACTGAAAAAAATTGACTCTTGCTTCCCACTTTCTGGCCCACTCCCTTAATATAACCACTGCTGAGTTTATTGTGTATTTTTTTTAGACTTCTTTTATGTTTAGTAAATATACAAGCTAGGGCAAAGGTAGGTTTACAGTTGTGAGTACGTGAAAGTTTATTGTATTATTTATTAATCGTATTATTTTCCATATGAACAATTGTAAACCTACTTTTGCCCACTCTGTATTAGGTCTTCACACACACACACACACACACACACACACTCATTTGTTTGGAACAATGTCATAAACCCACTTTCTTATACATGTCAATGGGCCTTCACAACACTTGCGGCCTTTGTTTCCTGGCTGGCAGCGTCTTCGAGAAGTCACTAGTGG